ACAGGCCAGTACATCAGGAGACGTGGAGGAGGCCATAGGAGGGCAACAACCCAGCATCCGGACTGCTACCTCCACCTTTGTGCAAGGAGGCACAGGAGGAACACTGCCAGAGCCCTGCAAAATGACCTCCAGCGGGCCACAAATGTGCATGTGGCTGCTCAAACGGTCAGAAACAGACTCCATGAGGGTGGCATGAGGGCCCAATGTCCAGAGGTGAGGGTTGTGCTTACAGCCCAACACTGTGCAGGATGTTTGGCATTTGCCAGAGAACACCAAGATTGGCAAATTCACCACTGGAGCCCTATGCTCTTCACAGATGAAAGCAGGTTTACATTGAGCACGTGACAGATGTGACAGGGTCTGGAGATGCTGTGGAGAACATTCTGCTGCTTGTAACATGCTCCAGCATGACCGGTTTGGCAGTGGGTCAGTAATGGTGTGGGGTGGGATTTCTTTAGGGGGCCGCACAGTCCTCCATGTGCTTACCAGAGGTAGCCTGACTGCCATTAGGTATCGAGATGAGATCTTCAGACCCCTTGTGAGACCATATGCTGGTGCGGTTGGCCCTGGGTTCCTCCTAATGCAAGGCAATGCTAGACCTCATGTAGCTGAAGTATGTCAGCAGTTCCTGCAAGACGAAGGCATTGATGCTATGGACTGGCCTGCCCATTCCTCAGACCTGAATCCAACTGAGCACATCTGGGACATCATGTCTCGCTCCATCCATCAACACCACGTTGCACCACACTGTTCAGGAGTTGGGGGATGCTTTAGTCCAGGTGTGGGAGGAGATCCCTCAGGAGACCATCCGCCACCTCATCAGGAGCATGCCCAGGCGTTGTAGGGAGGTCATACAGGCACGTGGAGGCCACACACACTACTGAGCCTCATTTTGACTTGTTTTAAGGACATTATATCAAAGTTGGATCAGCCTGTAGTGGTTTTTTCCACTTTAATTTTGAGTGTAACTCCAAATCCAGACCTCCATGGGTTGCTAAATTTGATTTCCATTGATAATTTTTGTGTGATTTTGTTGTCAGCACATTCAACTATGTAATGAACAAAGTATTTAATAAGAATATTTCATTCATTCAGATCTAGGATGTCTTATTTTTGTGTTCCCTTTATTTTTTTGAGCAGTGTATAATGACGTGGGAAAATACTGGAACAAAGCTGAATACCATATATATATATATATGTATGTTTGTATGTATGTATGTATGTATGTATGTATGTATGTATATATAAAAGGAACCTAACATGGCTCTTGTAGGCCTTCTGCTGAAGGAATTGTAAATCCTCCTGTCTGGATTACTACTGAAGAGCATTCAGGTGGTACAGAGTGCAACTGCAAGGGTAGTGAAAGGTGTTGGTTACTCAACACATATAACACCACTGCTTCATGAGTAGCATTCATGGTCAGATGCAATTCAAGGTACTGGTGGTCACCTTTAAAATCCTTCCTAGCTTGAGTTCAGTTACCTTCTCCTCGTCATTTCTACTCTTTGCAATCCAGTCTGGCAGGATGGGCATGTTCCAGGTCATATCAGCCAAGGAATGTCAGCTGATAGAGACTAGGAGCTGTGCCTTTTCTGCGATAGTGCCTGCCCTCTGGAACATTCTCCTTTTAAAGATTAGGATGCCCAAACTCTGCAGGCTTTAAGGCCTTGAAAAACCTGATTTTGTGAGGGTCTGGGGTCCCAAGTGAATGAACCCTGGCTTCTGGTTAACATCTATGAATTATAATATTTCTTGACATACATACATACATACATACATACATACATACATACACATACGTGTATGTGTGTGTGTGTGTTTGCTGCCCAGCTTAAAGCTTCTTTGAGATGGGGGCCCATACAAATTAAATGAGTGAATGGATAAATGAATGCAATCTAAGTTGTGGTATTTTATACCAATTTCTCTTGTGCCAGAGATGCCTGGCTGAGTAGATTGTGAAACCTTTCGCCCAGGTGTAGCTTTTAAACTCTAGAGCAGGAGTGTGCATCACACACTGGCCATGCCTGGTTTAGCGAAGTGGAGAAAGTCCCGATATGTCACATGATAACACTCCTGCTCTAGAGTGCAAAATCTACTATAGTTGTAAAACACATTTCCTCAATTCACCACCATTATCAAAATCCTGTCTTCAAAGGTCACATCAATACCTAAAGATCCTTGCCAAATATAAATACACTGTAGATTTAGTAATGCAGCACTATTAGTTACAGCCAAAAAGGCAGCAATTTTCATAAATGAAAAATGAATGAATAAATGAAAAAACCCTCAATCTTTCTCTTCATATTGGAATGCAAACACACTATTGACATTACCCAAAATTCAAATAACTTCTTATAAACACATTAACAGATTCAACTCACACTGGTTTTCATGCCCAGAGATTACATGTCTGTCTGACTATGTAATGAAGACCCCAGTATTCCTACTTGAAAGCATGGGAATGACTGAAATACTCCATTGCTTCATTTCATACAAAGAAAATTCCCCATTTTAAGGCTGCAGCAGAAAAAGGCATGGTGTGTTCCACGGAAAGTCACAAGGAAACTTTTACAAAAGTTGCAATGGAAACTTTTCTAGAGCAAGAGAAATGAGGATACCAGAATAAAATATTTGGAGGAAAACAGGGTAGAGAAATTATAAATACCATGTGAAGAATACTACCAAAGTAATTCAATATATGGTTATTAAACTGTCAGGATGATTCAGAGGTGATTCAGGATATAAGTAATTAGGAATAGATGCAAGAAGTCTCTTTTTATAATTATTTTTTTGATTGTTCAAAATTTGTACTGAAAAAAGCTTAATCAAAGTGTGTTTTTTATAACTTCCTCCCTATTCTGGTCAAAACTGACATTTAAATATTTAAATGAAAGCAGAAATCATTGGTAACTTGGTGATACATTGGTGAAATACTTGATTGTTTCTCCATATCAGGAGATATATTTCATTTCATGAAAGAAATGAAGAAAATGTAACAAATGAACATGAGCAACCTTGAGAAATCTGCCTTTCCATTTCTCACAGGAATATTTGCCAGACTAACCATGAGCGAGAGGATGCATGCTTGTACTGTCAGTGAAAAATCATGTCTTATGTGTTTCCATGTGTAGATGAACTATGAAGCAGAATTCTTTGCAACATTCAGGTCTTCCAGAATGGAAGCTTTGGGTGGTCCAGAAATTAAGTGGATGTAGAAGCAATTCCTGGAAGGCAGGAAGTTTAAAAACCGTAATATTAAATTAAGAGAAAATTAGCAACCATTTGGGATGAAATCAAGGTTAATAAATTATAGGATTACAACCAAATTCCTAATAAAATTGGGTCAAAGTCCAGCTGGAATTCTGCTTGCACAGTCTCTTTCACAATCCAGCTAGATTAAGAAACAGTTCTAGGAAATCTTACAAGACATGAAAACTAAAGAGAGATACCTTAAACTAACTAAAAGGATTTTAGCTACTTTTATCTAGTTCAGAGGTCCCCAAACTTGGCAACTTTAAGACTTATGGACTTCCAGAATTCTCCAGCCAACTCCCAGAGAATTCTGGGAGTTAAGTCTACAAGTCTTAAAGTTGCCAAGTTTGGGGATCCCTGATCTAGTCCCTTGCACATGTATTATAGATGCAGGAAGAACAGCTAACTGTAGTTTCCATAGGTTTTTGTGTTTGATGAAACTATACAGGCAGTCCTCGAAGTACGACCACAATTGAGCCCAAAATTTCTACTGCTACGTGAGACAGATGTTGAGTAAGTTTTGCCCCACTTTATGACTTTTCTTGCCATAGTTGTTAAGTAAATCACTACAGTTGTTAAATTAGTAACACGGTGGTTAAGTAAATCTGGTGTCCCCATTGACTTTGCTTGTCAGAAGGTCGCAAAAGCGGATCGCATGACCCCGGAACACTGCAAACGTCATAAAGATGAGTCGGTTGCCAAGTGTTTGGATTTTGATGACGTGACCCATGGGGATGCTGAAACAGTCGCAAGTGTGAAAAACAGACATGTCACTTTTTTCAGTGTCTTTGTAACTTCAAACTAGCAGTTCACTAAATCAACTGTTGTAAGCCGATGACTACCTGTATGTCAAACAACTTTCCAGAAGTTGGAAACTACAGGTAGATCTTGCTCAACAAATCTTTGATTTGGAACTTAGGTAGGCTCTAGAATTCAGTATTGAACCTGTCCACTTCCTCAAGGTCAACTAACGCAGTTCCCAAATAATTTCCCCTCAGCACCTCTATCAGCTCTGTCCAACTAGCTTCCAGCTCTGACTGAATTATCAGTGGTTTTATTCTGCCATTAAAATTTTCAAATTCGTTTGAAATGGTACAGGATAAGTTCTCCTGCTTCAGCAGGGGGCTGGACTAGAAGACCTCCAAGGTACCTTCCAGTTCTATTCTATTCCTATTCCTTTCCATTCCAATTTTAGCACAGTGGCCAGCCAACGTTCTTCCAGGATTATAAACGTATTCCCTATAACCTGGATTAGAAATGTTAAACCAGAATGGAGCAGGATGCTATTCAGGAAAAATCTTATTATGTGTTCTCTATGGTCCTGCATTCCGGGTACTCAATCACGTTACTTGCTACTCCATTGAGAAACTCATAAATGCTCTATGAAAACTAGCTGGTCACATCAGGGACCTGGGGAAAACCAAGTATTTCATCTCTGTAGAAAACAGTGGCTCAGAAAGCTCCAGATACCAGACTGCTCTGACCACAAGACTGCTGGCAATATACTCCACTTTCAGCTGACAATCCACCCGGTTTTAAGATAAAAACCAGATCTATTGCATCCTACGTAAGACAAGTCCATGATGATCTGGAACAAGCCCATGGTTGTCATTGTGCCTATGAAATATTTAATTACCTCCGACTCAGTCCTCTTTACAGCAATCTGCGTAACTTCCTGTAGCAATGGTTTTTGCACAGGTGTGTAAATGGCTGTCAAAGGTACTACCAAATTCTGTGTTTATACTTACCAACGTGATTTCTCCTAATCCAAGCTGAGCCCGCCCCAGTGTTTGCCACGCTTCCCAAGAACGGGGATCTCTCTGGACAGCCATTTCTGCTGCCTGCACGGCAGGAAACATTTCATGTAGAGACATCAGAACCTAAAGAGAAAGAGGAGGCAGGGGAAGAGAAAGACCTAAATCAGGTTCAGACACTGTTTTCCTTCTTTTATTTATTCAAGTTTCAAAGTTTCCCAACAATTTTGGATGAGTTACAAATTTTTTAAAAAATGAAGAAGAAAATGGCCAACCAGAAGAATATATCTTGTATAGCACCGGGGAGATTAATAGCAGAATGATCTAAAATTCTAGGTGAAAAGGTAGTGAGAAAAATAACAGGAGACCCTGAGAGTGTTTTAAGATTCATAAAATCAAAAACTGTCAATTTAAATCTAAAGTTTAAAATATATGTAATAGCAGTAACACTTAGACATATATAGTGCTCCATAGTGCTTTACAGCATTCTCTGAACGGTTTACAATGTCAGCCTATTGCCCCCAACAATCTGGGTCCTCATTTTACTGACCTCAGAAGGATGGAAGGCTGAGTCAACCTTGAACTGGTCAGGATCAAACTCCAGGCTGTAGGCAAAGTCAGCCTGCAATACTACATTCTAACCACTACACCACCACAGCTCCCAATGCTTCACCTTTTTAAAAGAGAGCTGAATTAAAGAGTGATATCATCATCATCATCATCATCATCATCATCATCATCATCATCATTTTAGCCATTGTCTATCCACTGGAGGATGAAGGCCTCTTCCACATGTTTCTAACCATTACGGTTCTGAGCTCTTTTTTCTTTTCTTTTTGCCAATTGGGGCCGCAATACTGGCTGATGTCTACTTAACGCTGTCTTAAAATTTATGAAGCAAAACTATACTAACTGCTTTCTATCTGAACACTGAATTTGTACATGTTTTGGTCAAGAAATGTATCAGTATTATGCAGTCACTTGTTCCAGTATTACAGACAATACAAAAATTCTAGTACCAGAAGGTTGTTCTAGGCATTTCATGCCTGGTTCTAGAAACACCATTTTTTTAATTTCCTGGAAATAGCCAACAAAGAGATTAGTTTTGATTTTAAGCGATTTCAAACGTGTATCGTTTGTTGAATTGCTCAGCTTTCAAATGATGACTGTTAGCATCTGGCTGGATCCATTTCCAACTTGCACAAAAGTTTATTGATCCCATCAGCAGCCAGCACGTTTTATTTCTGTTTTCTTTAAAAAGGACCAAACAAACAAACAAACAAGAATCAGATGCAAATTCTGTTTGTTCTCATCTCATCCCAAAATCAAGTAGAAAAATCTGGACATATGCTTGGAATGCTTGAGGCTTGCAAAGCATGTGGCTTGGCAAATCTCATCTCTCCTGAGTCATTAATGTGTATTAATTCTTCTCATGTGACGTTGGGAAATGGGAACAAATGGAAACAATTACAGGATGCTGCTGGTTGTAAAAATGCAATGTGGTAAGCTCCTTCCAGTCCTTTGTTTGTACACCATCCGGATTAGAACAATAAATTCGAATTGCCCACCTATGCATTGTACCCATGGTGGAAATTACGAATAGCATCTGTAATAATAAACTCTCTTCTGGTCCTTCACCTTTCATTGCAGGTTGTTCCCTCCATGACACAGACGCTACTGTTGACACAGAGTGTTTCGTTTTAATCTTTCACACAACAGCTGGTGGATTTAAGTTTGCCCACTAATGAGAAACAACTTGCTTAGTTCACTATTTGACTTTTAAAGTACTACTGGGTTAACAATAGAGCCCGCCCTGTATGAAGAAAAGAGCCATTGCACAATTCCTCTCAGGGATATGCAAATATATACGTGCATTATTTTTTTTAAAAAAAACCTCCCTAACATTATGGCCAACTTAAACGTTTCTATGAGTCATTTATCAAAGTAGGGAGAATCCCAGAGACTTTTTTTAAAAATTTTTTACAAAAATAACCTAGGAGTCAGGCATGGAGTGGTGAAAAAGACAGAACAGTCACGTAGAATGTGTGTTGTGCACTTCTTTGGACCGCAGCCATAAGCATCCTAATTTAAATGCAAACTGGCTTTTGATGTTCCAAAGCAACAACGTGGAACAAACACAAATTGCCTTCTTTCTAGTATAGCATTCAAAAGGCTATAAATGGATATATAATACACGTAGTCCTTGACTTACAACAGTTCGTTTAGTGATCGTTCAAAGTTACAATGGCACTGAAAAATGAGACTTCGGGCCATTTTTTTCACAGTTACAACCTTTGTAGTGTCCCCCATGATCATGTGATCAAAATTCAAATGCCTGCCAACCGGTTCAGACCGGTTGGGATCTTAATTAGGGCTTATTTTGGGGGGTAGGGCTTATATTGGGTGCACGTTTAAAAAATCAAGCTAGGACTTATTTTCAGGGTAGGTCGTATTTTCAGGGAAACAGAGTATTACAAAGAAACAATCCAAGTATTACCTGTGATTTCATCTCATACAGAGTGGCATCTTCAGGGGTTAACTGAAGTGCTTCGTCCCATTTGTGAAGAGCTTCCTGGTACCTGCAAGTTGTTAAGAAGTAATTTATTCTTAATAAATGTATGAATATTTTAAAGGTTGGCACCTTGAACATTGTGCCAAATGTGTTTTTAACTGTGATACATTTGCAGCAATGACTCCTAAAGCAATGTTCCTCAGCCTTAGTAATTTTAAGATGCCTGGACTTCAACTCCTAAACAGCTAGGAAATTCTGGGAATTGAAGTCCAGGCATCTTAAAGTTACTAAGGCTGAGGAACAATGTCCTAAAGAGTACATGTTTGTTGCATAAATTCATTAATAGGTGCTTTTTTCTCCACTCCCATTCTTGTCAGAGAAATCTAAACCAACACTTCCTTCTAGTGCTGAAATATAATCAGATGTTTTTGCAGCAAGCCCTGAGGATCTAAAGCCTTAGATGCATATTAGATACACGGTCCACATCATGTATATATGTACAGTCATTCTATGAGCTGTACTTTTGCTTATCCCAAAGCTTTAGTTTTTCCTAACTTGCAAAAAAATAATTAACAAAGAAATATTCATTTAACATGCAGCTAAATCTGAAGCTAAGCATTACATGTTCAGAACTGTAAGTGTGGACCTGTGTGATATCTGTCATAAAGAGAGGAGTCCTGAGAGATGAATAGCTTTACTGTAAACTCTGAATTCCCTACCCAAAAGGTACAAAAAGTGGTAGGATCTGTACGTGGGAAAATATGTTGTCCGGGAAAATAATAATTCAACTAAATTCCCTAGCTTCAAGCCATAAGATTAAACAGAAGACTGATGACTTAGCATTCTTCTTAACTTGGCAATAAATATATGCTTCGGTAATACTGCAATATCTTTAAATTTTGAAAGCATTCCTCACAACTTTCTGCTGCAGTAGTAAATCAAATTTATTTATAGAATCTTAACATTCTAAGAACATCATTTATTTTAAAACAAACCTCTAACATGAGTGATAACGCACTTCAATAACAGTGTTTTTTGAAATGGATTTTCTGTTTCTTTAAAAAAACAGTTTATTTTTAATAAGCAATATAACTTTTTTAGTTTTAACTCCTTGCTTATCTTACATGAGCTGTGTTAAATGTCTAAATGTGATCTCAGTGATTTTTTTAAAAATACAAATACATAGGACCCAGGGGAAATACTGTACAGTCATAAAGTTTTTTTTAAAAAAAGATAAACCATTATAGATAATGTTTCATTTAAAGTATCTGAGGGACAAAAAAAGAAGTAATAAAAGTATTAAGCTCAATGGCCAAAAAAAACCCCCAACCCATTACTAAAGTAACAGTTAAGCCTTCTGGACTTTATACTGTCAGCAAAACAGGAAGATTGTCTTTTCTGGAGAGAAAAACATTTCGCCATGTGCAAAATATGAACTGTTCAATGAGCCATTTTTTAAAAAAATTAGCAGTGGAAAAACATTTGTGCAAGAATATCTTTTGCACGTTATCTGAGGACGGCACAGTGAAGGTGAACCTATGGCACGCGAGCCAGAAGTGGCACGCAGAGCCATTTCTGGCGGCGTGTGAGCCATCGCCGCAGATCAGGTGCACTGTGCACGCGCCTCCCGCCAGCCGATTGTCAGGTATCTGCTGTACATGCATGAGGGGCATGCATGTGAGATGCACGTGCATGCGCAGAGGTGCACGGTGGGGGTCGTGCATGCATGTGCAGAGGTGCATGTGGGGGTGTTGTGCGTGCATGCGCAGGGGGCAGGGGTTGCACACTCAGCGCATTATGGGTGCACGTGAGGATGAAAAGGTTAGCCATCATTGCACTAGAAGCTCATCAGCCTTTCCCAGTTGTGATCCAAAAATGAATTGGAATTGGAAATTACCAGAATTCTTATCCAGCATGGATGCTGATCTCCCATAAATATAGAGGGTGGCAAACAAAGGTAAACTGATCTAGATCCTCAAAATCCAGAAGCGAAGCAAAGACCTCTATCAGTGCAAACAGTAAGCATAAAAAGACGGTCACTTCCCGTCTTGATTATTGCAACGCGCTCTACATGGGGCTGCTCTTGAAGAGCGTCCGGAAGCTCCAGTTGGTGGAAAATGCAATGGCCCACATGGTTTCATGCAGACCCCGGTGTGCACATGTATCACCTCTCCTGCAGGAGCTGCATTGGCTGCCAATTCGCTTACGGGTTCAATTCAAGGTGCTGGTTGTCACCTTTAAAGCCCTTCATGGCTTGGGTCCGGGTTATCTGAGGAAACATCTCTTGCCAGTGACATCTACCCAACCCTCCAGAGCGGGGAGGGAAGGAATGCTGCAGGTCCCACCCCTGAAGGAGATACACCTGGTGGGACCCAGAAGAAGGGCCTTCTCTGTGGTGGCTCCATCTCTCTGGAACATCATTCCCCCCGAAATTAGAATGGTCCTCTCATTAATACTATTCTGAAAGGCACTGAAGACCTGGTTTTGCCAGCGGGCCTGGGGAACCCAGAGAAGGATGGAACCCATCAGATGGCTAGTGTGACCCACTGTCGTTGGGGTGGGAGTTGGTTTTTGTTTTGTTTTTTGTTTTCCCAAATTTTGTTCTATTGTACTTTCCTAATTTCTTTGATTCTTGTTGTTAGTTCTTATTGTTTTTGTTTTTATTTTTTTATTTTAAATATGATTTTACATTGTGTAAGCCACCTTGAGTCGCCATGGGTGAATAGGCGGCAATATAAATCAAATCAAATCAAATCAAATCAAAATCAAATCAAATGAATGAATGAATTAATTAATTAATGTAAAATAAATAAAATACTTCCCACTTTTTGCAACCTCTTCAATTTCCTTTCTTGCTCTCTTCACTGAGCCAGCACAGCCTAAACTGGGGACACATAGTTATAGTGTTCATGCTGCCAGAACATGTAGAAGGAGTTCTGATTCTTACTGCGTTGCTTCATAAAATGTTGGCAAATCATGGTTTATTCTCAGCCCTTCTGTATACATTTTTCACCTGGGTATTTTGCATGCACACCAACAAAGCACCCAGATGGGAGAAGGATCTGTGATGTACATTTAAGGTAGGGCATTTAGTTTAAAAACAAATGCTAGGCACTTGGAGCACTTGGATTCTCTTATGTCATTTGAGGCAAGTGTTAGTCACAATTAATATAAAACAAATAGTCCTCATCTCTATTACTCATCAAGCTGAACATCAGGTCCTTTAAATCGAAAGCAACCATTTATGGAACCTGAAGGAAGAGATTGAAACAAATCTCCCTACAGAAAGTCTATCTATGTGCTTCGGACTTGACACTATGACGCTATGCAATCATTACTATGATGGAAATACACTGCTTAATATGGACTGGGTTGACATTGCCACTTTGCTGGTAACATCAGCTTAAACCAGGGGTGTCCAACCTTGGCAACTTTAAGACTTGTGGACTTCAACTCCCAGAATTCCTCAGCAAGCAAAGCTGGCTGAGGAATTCTGGGAGTTGAAGTCCACAAGTCTTAAAGTTGTCAAGGTTGGAAACCCCTGGCTTAAACCCTTGAATTTATTTTGTAAAAGAGCAGCATGAGCACAGTATAGAAAGAACATGAACTGCCCTTTTTCCTTACATTAAAAAGAACAGGAAAATAAGATTTCCTTCTGAATAAGATACAATTACCACCTTTACTAGCAAACTGGTTTAGAAAATTAGATGTCTAAAAAAGACTGTAATAGCTAGTTTAATTTTAAAACTTTAAATGTGAACAACTTGTTCATTAAAAATCTATATGGATAAAGAAGTACTGGGTGTGAACAAAGGTCAAAACTGCTAGGAAGAGAGTCATGCTACTGCCACCAAAAAGAAAGGGCCTGCTGTGTCCATATTGTCTGCTCTTTTGACAATTCATTCATTTGTTCTTGTTGTTCTGGTCTGGTTGTCTTTCATGTTAAGGTATCCATCTGCCTTCTTGCAACCTGTATCTGCTGTTTGTTAAGATTCATGCTGGATATATGTGCCCTGTGCTTTGTTCTTGATTTCAGCCTTTCCATGCACACATCTACACCCATATAAAAACTCCAGCTGCTCTCACCATTTCAAAGACTGCAAATGGCCATTTTCTGAGCCATGTAATCCTACACAGAAATTGTCCATTTCTACCGTAACTAAAATGTCTATGTAACATTATATGGCTTAGGAAAACGGCCATTTTCAGTCTTTTGAGTTTTACATTTCTTTGTAAAATTAATTTTCTATCTAAAATTACATGAAAGTCTAGCTGCTCAGGGCTCTCCAGGATCACATCTTTGTAATTGCCACCACTCAACTGTTAAGTTAGCGAAGCCACAGATGGTCTCCTTTCTGGGGGTGACAATATGGCAATAACAGCTTCTTGTAAGCTTCTCCTTCAGAGTCTCGGGAGTTTGGTTTATTTCTCGCCAGTCTTTAATGTCTAGAGGGCTGGTGTATTTGAGTTTTGCCCCAGTGGGAGTCTAAGCTGGCTGGTGGTGGTCCTGTGGGAGAACTAACCATCAACCTGCAGCCTAGACAAGACACCCAGGGGAGCCTAACCATCTTGTCTTTGTTTGGTCCTGATGTCTGGCTGTTCTGACCCAAACCTTGTTCCAAGTAAACAAACACTAAACACAGATAAAAGCAAAACCTTTTCGTGCTTCTCTGCGAATTCCGTTAATTCAGGGTTAAAAGGCTATTAAAACTAATTGTCTCTGATAAGAACAACCCTTGCCAAGGTTGTGCAAGGCTGCCAAAAGCACTAGATTAAGTTGCCAAGAAATATTCCAAACAAAAAGTCTTCAAGCACAAACCAAGATAGTCCAAACTTGCACAAGGCTTGAAGTGCAAGAACTTCTTTGCTTCCTGCAAAGCACCCCGGTCTCTCAGGCTGGCTTTTATCTCTTAAGGGAGGGGCCATTACCTTGCAGCCTTACTCCCGAGTCACCCGTGCTGCTGCAGCTGCTCTTTCCTACGAGCAGCCTTGTGCACACTGGGCACAGGCCCCCTGTGGGGTCCTCTGCATCACTGCTGCCAGCCTCCACAATCTCCGAAGGCAGCA